TGTCACCTCTAGGACAGATTCACTATAGAACCGGGTCATTGTTGCCGCCAGGGAGTGAAGAGGAAACAATTCTTCAAATTTACTTCGTTTTGCGAATAACCGTGCTATGAAATGCTGCACAGTTGGAGAATTGCAAGAACTTCTTCACGGATATAACCCTTTCTTTAGGTTATTTAAAGAGGCAAATGACCACCAGACCATAATCTTAGCAGATGAATGTGCCAATAGAAATCGTAAACGTGAATTGTTGGACCAAAAGGTTTCAATAGAAAAATAAAAATTTCGGGCGGGACGAAGTTCGCCGGGTCTGCTAGTAGTTTATATAGTAGATGCTTATATTTACTCACTAAGTGCTTATCTTTTACACACTAGGCAGTGTTACCGCTGAAAATTTTTCGAAAGTCGCAAAAGAAGTGTCAAGGTCGAAAAAAGTGTATTCAAGTAATTAAAATCGTTTATACCATATATGTAAAGACGTTCATTATTTTACCTTTCGAAACTTATTGGTGCATAGTCACAGTCGAAATAAAATCGACTCAAACGTTAGTTTTAGCTTTTTTCAATGGACAACATATTTAGATCTATTGGTTACAATAATTTTAAGCTATAATAAGCAATATGTTTTAGTAAGTAAGTTATTGGTTTTGAAATTTTTTTTTTTGTATAGGCTCCCCCTAAGTTTCGTTCTGGCTACGCTCATGGCCACTACTCACTGCTTATTTGATATAAATATTTCTGGTCTGTACTCAGACTACTCTCTATCTCCTTCAATAAAACAGGCATGTTTGATAGCAGAAAACTCTTTTTTCCAACGCTTTTCCTATTAATCCGGAATAAAGTTGAGGACCGCTTGTTGCTCCATCTATTTTCTTGAACAAATGTCGAAGAGGTAGTTCATTCGCGCGCAGTTGACAAATGAACCATTGCAGTTACCTATCTAACCTAATTTACATTAACCGTATTACTCCACTTTTATAGTCAGTGTTTTTAGCAGTTCCGTCGCACCCAATAACCAACAATTTGTTGAAATCCAGTTCATTTTCAGTAAAAAAGCATCGTAATGAGTCTGCTATACCTTTTCCAGTATTAGACAATGTAGTTAGATGGCTTAAATAGAGTGAGCCTAGTTCCGTTATCAGGAAATGTGTTCCTTTGTAGTAAATGCAAACGTTGACCTCGCTTTTCAAAGACAAGTATCCTATCCATCAAAGTAGACGCTACTAATTTCACGAAAATTCTGCTGACTTTGGAATTCATTCCGCACTCGTTTCCTAGTGAACTTTGCTTCGATCGATGACTTATCTTGCATTTTCCAAAGTAATGAGACCCACGTCTTGCAATACTGCACCAGCAACTGCTGATGCCGACCGATCACTGATACCGCAGCGATCACAAACTCCCGGCAAACAGAGTCTCTAACGTTAGAGATATTTAGATCTCTACATTAGATGACCAGGGTAATTCTCAAATCGTTCTCGAGTCGATGACGACGTTAGAGAACTACATTAGAATTCGATTCGAGAATGATTAGAGAAACAACGCAAATTCAAATAAATGTAAAAAAGCAATATTCCAAATGAATGAATCATAAATAATTATCAGGTTCAAATAATTCATTATTATTTTATTGTAAATACATTTAATACTAATTTTACAAACAAAGCGCTTTATGTATTTAATAAAGTAAAATCAGTTTGAAATTCAAGTTCCAATCCCATTAGAGATCAACATTAGAACTCGATTAGAGAATTAATATTTTCTCGAGTCGAGCACTATGCCCCATTTTTTGAGATCGCTATGATTCGCAATAGTTTTTCGAATCGTTCTCTAACGTTTGAGATTGGAGAATGTGGCTAGTTCTCCAATCATTCTCTAATCGATAACTAACCTCAATGTTTGCGGGACTGTAGCAAAGGCAGGAAGAGACAATGTGTTCCTTTGCCTCCATAGTAGTGAAGCATTATAATTAAGAATTTTCGAAGTACTGGGCTGAGGTTCTGTTAGCTCAGGACTGAAAAGTAAGGGGAGTACGCTCTTTTATTTTTTCTCTTGGTTGGCTATTGCTCGATTAGAGTTTCGTTTCCTTGCAAATCTTTTCTCAAGCTTACTCGTCTCTAAAGGGTCAAGTCACCAATCGCCATTTTTCTCTCACACCTCTGATGATATAGAAAGTCTCTTTCAAGTGTAGGTACTTTTTCTTCACGAGGACAACCACAGTTGCTGAAATCAATGCATTAGCATTTACAAATATCAAATATTTCTGTGACACATTTTTGTTTCCACTCTTGTAACTTCATCTCCAAGCGAACTGGGATTTTGTACTGCGTAAAAAATTTAAGTACTTGTCATAACTGCTATTTAAGAGTTGCTTCACGCGTTCAAAGGAAACAAGTGGAAAATAAGCTGTAGTCCACACTCCTATAACATCACGCGCTACTGCATCGAATACTTCAGAGATAGCAGACTTTTTGCCATTTCCCTTAATTTTTTCTTTATTTCTTCTAAATTAAATATGCTTTAATATATCTTCCGTTGTTGGTAACACAGATTTACTAATCGGCATAATTTCGTATAAAGCTAGCGGTACCTATATACGTGTCTCGCGTGTCAGCTGTTCGTCGGAGGACTGATGTAGCATTGTTGCCAGTCTAAATAAAGAGTTAAGCTCCTCGTTGTCAGTACATATTCGGCAATTATACTTAAACTTATACAAATCAAGAAATCAATGAGAAGTATGCTCCAATTTTGTTTTCGCAATGACAAAAAATGAAAAAGAAAGTATTAATATTCCAGCGTACAGATGTACCACAAACTACAGTGAGTTTTGTTTATTTTCGGACTTTTGTCAACATATTATTTTACCTCTGTTCCATGAGTATTAGAACATTGTCTTATTTTAAATAAACTTTGTTACATTTACGCCATTATAAGATATAATGCAAATATATATATATATATATATATATTTAAGTCTATATTTAAGATGTTGAATAAATAGTACTATTAGATGATTTTGGAAAATTTTCAAAAAGCAGTAGAGGGCCAAAAATATTTTTATTATTATTGTTTTCATTTACACTAAAGTCCAATGCAGCGTTTTAGCGCTCTTGCATACTGAAAATCCGCAAAAAAATTATACGCTCCACCCTATTGTACAATGAGATTGCTCGCAAAATTGTAACGTCTGTGGGAAAAACGTCCAACTTGATTGCGGATCGATGATGATGTGTTTTTTGTAATTCATGCTGCCATTTACTACGTTTATACGTAGGCCAATTCATGAAATCATTTCATGAAGTTGATCAGAAACTGAGTGGATGAACACCATTTCATTATTTCAATTATACGCGAAATGGAATTTATACACTGAGTTTTTACTCAAATTTATGAAATGATTTCGCGAATTGGACTACGCACAAACGTGATAATTGTGCGTATAATTTGTTAGGTAATTTTATGTTTTTAAACTCTTTCTACCACATGAATATATGAATTCGCATTGGAAGATAGAAAGCGAGTAAGAAGAAATGCCGAACAAAGAAATCTGTCTTTGTTCAACTTAAATAAATGCATTTTTCAAACAAAAATGCGTACGTTACTTAGGGCCAATTTCAATTGAATATTTAAACGGCACTTAAGTTTAATTTTGGATTGTTATTTAAATGCCATTTAACTTTCGTTGGGTTTCAAATCAAATTTATTTAAATATGCCAAACAAGTGGCAACACTAATTCCTGCTCCTTGAAATTGTTGTTGCATTTGCTTGTTTGTTTAAATTTTGTACTGAACAGCTGAATGTACTTTGGCAAGATTGATAAAACAACATACCTATCAATCTTGTTTGTTTGGTACAAACACAGGGTAGCATATCTCATATTTAAATAGCCAGTATTGGCCATTTAATAGCAGTTTAAATGTATGATCTGAAAATGAATGGTTGAAGTTAATCAACAATCTCTTCTTAAATAGGTCATCTGAAACTGGGCCTTAGTGGCTAGGTTATGCACGGGGCAAAACGTAACAAATCGCGGCGAATTCGTAAGGATCTATTGATTGCATTATAAATATTTGCATTTATTTGTGAATAATAATAATTCCAACGGTTTTTACCCTCCATTCCCGCCCATCCGCACGATGGGCGAAGTCCGCATGGCGTACGGAACCAATATTTTCACTTTTTTTGCGCCAAGTCACGATAGGCAGGAATTTTAAATCTCGACACTTAACGAGATCTAAAACTGTTCAGCAACAGTACTAAATTCATCAGCTGATTTTATGTCTTTATGTTAATGATTCATTTATTGAGAGAGGATAGTATCGCTTTCTTAATCCTGAAAAGCGAATCAGATATATCAAATGTGCTGGAATGAGAGTCAAAATCCTGGCATAAGCAACGCAGTGGCTCGTGTAATTCAAAATTAGTTTTACAAGTTTTCAAAAATAGGGAATAAAAATGTCTTGATACACGGGAGGGAACATTATGGCTAACTTCACCCAGAAGAAGCGGACTTGAAACTGAGCATGTCAGTAATTTAATCATAAAAATTGTACCAAGCATTTCCCTGCGACTGACAAGTGTAGGAAGATTAAAAATTTGTAATCGGCTCGTATAAGGCAGACGGTTATATTGAGAATACCAACGGATATTTCTTAAAGCAAAAAGTAGGAATTGTTTTTGAATTGATTCTATCTTGAGTAAATTTTATACCATCGATTTCAAACCACCGAACCGTATTCCAGAATCGGTCTAACTAATGTTGTAAACAGGGTTTTATGGATATAAGGGTCACTAAATTCTTTTGACCATCGTTTCACAAATGCAAGTACACCTTTAGCCTTGTTGACTGTCATATTAATGTGAAGATTAATGGGTCGATTACGGATAGCAACGCAACCACAGTTCGGTTGCTAGCTGGCAACGCAACTGGAAATAAATTTGTATTACGAGTGGCAACTATCGTCAGTTGCTGTAGAGTTATCGATAATCGAAATTTGACAGTGCGACAACCAGCAAGCGGCTGTAAACAAGCTGTGCGAGTAAAATTAAATTATTAAAATAAAGTTTTAAAGAAAAGACAGCAATAAAGCTAACTTCATCACAATTATTTATTTTATAGGAAGAGAACTGCATGAACGCGGCCTCAATCAGGCGACATTTAAAGGATAAATCCAATCCTCTAGAGCTACCGCGTGCACTGTAAGCAAAAGTTAATGCTTTCAAGGTTTTTCTTTTATTATCGTTTTGTGTTCATTTTCAAAGCATATTGAGGACTTCCAAAAGGAGCTGTAGTATAATTGGTTAATAAACAGATGAACCTCTTCCTTCAACTTCAATACCTCCGCTCATAAAAGCTTGCGCACCTCTTCGTTTTTTCGCAGAAGGAAGTGCCACGGCAATGACTTCAATTTGGAAAACTTGGTGTTTTGGGAGTTTTAAAAGAGGTGCTTCAGTCGATAAAGGAAACAATTTGCAATCAGTGTTCGCTTTTGTTTCGCCAAAGGGCGTACTCCTCAGGAATTAAAATTTCAAGTTATTGTTTTTTTATTTTTACCATATTCTGTAAAAGCAAACTGCATTGCAAAATGTTAGTATCGCTCAAATTATTAAAAAGTTAAATATATGACACACTTTTCAATTTTTGCTCCTAAATACGCTCCAAAAATATTCCTAGCAACCACAAAAATGTAGTCGCCTGTATACACACTTTGTAGCAACTGCAATTGTCAGTTGAAAGTTGCCCGTTGCTATCTGTAATATCGTTTTGGCAACTAGCAACGCAACTGAAGTTCGATTGCTATGGATAATCGACCCATAAAATTAAATTTCGGATACAGTGTGATAAGAAGGTCCACAAAATTTTTTACCTGTTCCAAATTATGGTTATCTATTGTATAAGAAAGTGGCTGAACAGCTCTTCGCGAGAAGCACATTACTTTACATTTTTCCAGATTTAGAGGCATACGATTTACATATGTAGCACCAGTTAGCCATGCTGTTTAAGTCTGCTTGTAGCCACAGTTTCCACACGACAAAAAATTTTCTGATCACAATTTACAAAAAAAAGTTACTTAAAAGTTGCCAAGTAAAAAACAACGTTTTATTACATAATAATAATAGATTGGGGCTTACACATATGTTAGTGTTTGGCCGAGCTTCTCCTCCGACTCCGAACGGCGATTGCATTTTTATGAGAAGCTGTTTTTCATGGCAGAAATACAATCGGAGGTTTGCCATTGCCTGCCGAGGGACGACCGCTTTGATCAGGGCTTGAACCCAGGTGCTACGGAGTGGAAGAGCGCAATGCTTACCCCTACGCAACAGCGTTTTATTACATAATAAACTGTTAAAACAAACCTCGTCTATTTGTCATAAATAAAACATGGGTACAATAAATAGGTTTTACTTTACTGAGAAATAAGGATATATAAAAAATAAATGCGGTCTTTTATAAACAATTCATTGAACCTACGTGATGCTATATATTATAGTAAAAGAAATCCAAAAGGGCGTGGCTCGGGTTATTACAGTTTCGATTCTGGTAATGCATTTTAAGGTGCACCTAAACTTTTTTTTAAATGTCAGTTAAGCTACTCTGGCGCTCAAGGCCTCATTAAATAACTAGATATATTCACATACGGATATATGTAAATACATTTTTATTCAATCTCAGTGTGAAGCTGGTCACCCTATTTTGCTGCGCACCTATGGCAACGCCGTTTGGATGTGAAACTTTGTTACTTTGACATTTTCTTTTTGTACTTTTTCATTTGTCAAATTCTTGGTAGCTTAATAAATGTTTTAACCCATTAAATACGTATGCTACATACATGTAACGGGAGCATACTGTGTGCATTTAGGAAAATAAAAAATTTAATTTAATTACATTGATGCTTATACAAGTACAAATGTCTTTGGGATGAATGCTTTAATAGTTTTGTGCCGTTCGTAGTTCAGTATATGTCAGTTAGTGCAATAAATCAGTCGCGTTTAGTTTCGTGTGTTCAGTGAAGCACAAAAAAATAGCAAATGGCGAATAGAAGGAGGAAAGTATTCTTTTTTTTTTGAACTTTTGTAATTACAACTGTTAAGTTTTTAATGCAGTAGTGCTTTGTTAAATGTGGACACTATTTCCTGCCAAAAAATTTGATTTTCATGCTTTAAATTTTTATAGCCAGACATAAATTGACGGCGTTACATGTATGTAATATCAGTCTTAATACTGAATAGTTGTATACAGCTCGCGACAAAGTAATAGCACCTCATCATTTTGACCAGTTTTTACTACTTTTTTTTTTTTAATGTTCGTTATTTTTTTTAAACTATAGCTCATTATCTAACAAAAACCAAATAAATCCAAATTTAAAACTTTGTACAAAAATTGGAAAAGTTAAATAAAGTTTCATCCAAATTGCAAGCATTTTAATTAGAGTTTCTATAAAAAATTGGGGTGCAGTTTAAAAGCTTATTAAATTTTAGTATAATAAAGTGTAAGTTTGCGGTTGCCAAAAAATCCCGTTGGGTTTTGGTTTTGTGTTTTTGCTGAACGTGTTACACATTTTCTTCCATACAAAATATGTTCGACCATTTGTTATATTGAGGACAGTACACGACACCGTCAGCAATTACAAAAACTCCACGAGAATTTTCAGAAACTTCAAACTTGCATTTTATTAGACATACTAAAATTTAATAAGATTTAAAACTGCGTATTAAAGATTTTTCTAGAAACTCTTATTAAATTCTTGGATTTTAGATTAAACTTTGTTGAATTTATTTAATTTTTGAAAGTTTGAAACTTGGACTTATATGATTTTCGTTAGATATTGAGCAACGCTTTTATAAAAAGATATCGAACATTAAAAAAAGCAAAATAGGTAGTCAAAACTGGTCAAAATATTAAGGTGCTATCATTACTACCGTTTGCAATACGTTGAGTTTGTTTATATTTAAATTTTTCTAGAGAAATAATGTCTGTGCAAGAAGCGATACAATTTCTTGAATCATTAGATTCAGATAATGAGAATATAGTCAAACTATTTTGTGAACCGCCAGAGGAAGAAGGGCTTTCGGGGGAAGACTCAGCTGATGAAGATGATGGCGGTGATTTGCTAAATTTACCGCGAAAGCAATTAATGGCTCCATGTGAATTAGTGTCTCGGTCAGGAGAAAACAGTATGCTCTTAGACACCGTCCCAGAAGAGGAAATCAATCCGTTCATAACAGGTTTTGTAAATAATTCATACAAAAACATAGACACTAGTCTTTTGGAATCACCAGTCTCAACTTCAACTCATAGTATTCCAAAAACGTTATTTTGCGATTCGAAAAAAGACAACGTCAGCAGAGAAAGTGCGTATTACACGCGCTCCTTCTACACATCAAGCCACCGAACTCGAATCTGAAGAGGTATCGCAAAAAACACCTGAAAAGGAGGCAGTATTTATTCAACTAACACCAGGAAAGCTGGAAGTACGAGGTTCGAAAAGAGCCTCTACATCCAGACCAAGCCTTCCTCGAGCGAACAAAAAAATTAAAACAAATGATATGGTGTGGCTTGATGCTGAAGAAAGAACTGGTGATAGATTAGCATTTCCAGAGCCTGATTACACTGACTGCAGTAATCTACAACCACATCAACAATTAGAAAATTTTTTCAGCGAAGATATTTTGGAACTTATTTATGAAGAAACAAATAAATACGCGGTCTTGAATGATGCACCAAATCCAAATGTGACTTTAACTGAAATGAAAGTCGTAATAGGAGTTATGTTGACCACTGGTAATACGTCCCAACCAACCAAAAGAGATTACTGGTCAAACGATAAAGATTTTTTCTGCGCTATGGTGTCAGATGCGATAAGACGTGATAGGTTTGAAGTAATACTTCGCTACCTTCATTTTGCTGATGCTGACTGTTACTCTGCTGACGACAAAATTTGGATTGCGACCACTTACTGATGCCCTTAAAAAGTATTTGAAAAATTTCAAGCCAGAACCCGATTTAGCATACGACGAGTCCATTGTGGAATACTATGGACGTCATGGATGCAAACAATTTATTCGGGGTAAACCTTTACATTTTGGATATAAAATGTGGTGTTTGAATACACCACTTGGCTACCTCAATAATTTCGAAATGTATCAAGGGAACAACCCGCGCCCAAACCCAGAATATCCACCGAAATATGGCAAAAATGCTTCGCCATTAGTTTTGATGATTGCCGACTTCGATGAGGATACAAAGTATCTTCCTTTTGCCTTTTATTTTGACAACCTATTCACCTCAATGGGAATGTTGTTAGGATTGAAACAACGTGGTTACTACGGTACCGGAACTTTGAGAGAAAATATGTTACCAAAATCATGTCCATTACCTGACAAAAAAGCTTTGAAAAAGAAAGAGCGTGGATTTGTTGTGACTAAAAAGATTGATTGTGCTGATATTTATATCACTAAATGGGTAGATAATTCGGTAGTGACTATTGGTTCCACCGTTTTTGGAAAAAATCCCATTAACAAAGTAGGTAGTAGGTATTCTAGAGTTGAGAAGAGAACAATAAACATACTCCGTCCATATGCAGTCACCACATACCACGCTGGTATGGGTGGAGCTGCCAGAATGGACCAAAATGTAAATGCCTACCGCATCGGAGCCAGAGGGAAAAAATGGTGGTTCGCAATTTTCACTTGGCTTATCGATGTTTCTGTTCAAAATGCCTGGCTGCTACATCGCAAATCTGGTTCAGCGCTCTCTCAACTTTAGTTCCGCCGAGCTATAGCAGAATATTATTGTACGACTCTGGGTATACCAAAACCATCCAGTGGCTTTCGACACCAAAAACTCGAGAAGAATTTCTGTGTTCCCGTTATGATCGTTGCAACCACTTCATTTCTGTTAAACCAAATAACAAACAGCGCAAATGTCAAGGAAATGCCTGCAGCTCCAGCGTAACAACTTGTTGTGCAAAATGTAATGTCGGCTTATGTTTTAAGTGTTTCAAAAATTACCATTTTTTGTCTTTATAAACTTTGTATTTTGTTACTTTTTATCTTTCTTAAAACATATATTTTTAACACAAGTGAATTTAAAACTTTGTTTATTAGAAACTTTATTTTTATAAACAGACGTGAAATTTTAACTTCTTTCTTATATCGTTTTAAGTACTAATTTGCCTAATACTACTAATAATACTAATATTTACCCTTTCGTTTTTGGAATCATAATAAAGATTACCTTGTTATCGTAGGAAAATCCCACTTCCTTATTTTAAAATAAATATATGCCATATCCGGCCTGTT